CTGGTAGCGGCCACTAAAAGCATAACCGGAGAAGGGAACGTGGTCACTCCTCCCCACTTGCCGACCAATCAAATAGAGGCAATGAATGATTTCATTTGGTTTAACTGAGAGGCAGGAGCATTCTCCCAGATACGCGGACAGGGAATGATCGCCATCATATAAAAAAAAAATAATCCTAAGACGCCAAGAGACTATATAGACTGGGATTGGATTGCCAGACCAGAAAACATGTAAATCACTCTAATATGTGTCAGCAAAGCATAAGTGCATAAAGCTCACCCGCATTTTCGCCAAAGCGACGCTGCATCAATTACACAAGTTACATTCAGCCTCGTCTGAATCAACATTCGGCCTCGCCCGAACAAACAATCGCCCTCGCCCGAACCAACACTCGACCTCGCCCGAATTAACACTCGGCCTCACCCGAATTAACAGTCGGCCTTGCCTGAATTAACATTCGGCCTCCTCGCCCGAATTAACATTCGGCCTCCTCGCCCGAATTAACATTCGGCCTCCTCGCCCGAATTAACATTCGACCTCGCTCGAATTAACTCTCATTCGATCTCACTCAAATTAACATTGGGCCTCCTTGCCCGAATTAACATTCGACCTCACTCAAATTAACTCTCATTTGATCTCACTCGAATTAACATTCATCCTCGTCCGAATTAACATTCGGCCTCCTCGCCCGAATCAACTTTAGGCCTCGCCCGAATCAACATTCGGCCACGCCCAAACCAATACTTGGACTCACCCGAACCAACACTTGGCCTCGCCCTAACCAATACTCGGCCTCGTCCGAATTAACATTCGGCCTCCTTGCCCGAATTAACATTCGTCCTTGCTCGAATTAACTCTCATTCGATCACACTCTAACTAACATTCGGCTTCCTCATCCGAATTAACATTCGGCCTCCTCGCCCGAATCAACATTCGACCTCCTCGCCCGAATTAATGTTCGGCCTCCTCACTCGAATCAACATACGACCTCGCTCGAATTAACATTCGGCCTCCTCGCCCGAATTAACACTCGGCCTCTTCGCCCGAATTAACATTCTGCCTCCTCGCCCGAATTAACATACCGCCTCCTCGCCCGAATTAACATTCGACCTCGCTCTAATCAACATTCGACCTTGCGCAAATCAACATTCGACCTTGCGCAAATCAACATTTGGCCTCCTCGCTAGGGGTGGACATCGGTCTGTTCGGTTTGGTTATGAATATTATCGGTTTTGCCTATCGGTTATCGGATTATAAATATCATAACCCAATAACCAAATCGATAAGATATTGGTTATCGGTTATCGGTTAATCAGTTATTGATCATTATCGGTTCGGTTGTCGGTTTACCCGATAAGATAAAACAACTAAAATAATTCCGCAATGTATAAAACCGTTTTGCTAAAACAGTTTTATAAGATTTGCAATGTATAAAATAGTTTCGGTAAAATCAGTGTTCTTAAGATCTTCTTTGTTCAAACGACTAGCAGTAACTCTTTTTACATTGATATCTACTTTTTTACTCTAGTACAAAATTATGTATATAGATTAAAAAATTTATTAGTTATGAAATACAAATGTTATAATAACTGACATAAGACAATTTTGTAACAGCTCAACAATTAAAGCACACGACAAATTTCACTTCAGCTTTCAAACAAACTAAGAAAAATTCAGAGCCAGAATGTTTTCAAACAAACTAAGAATAAGATGAAGATGAAGCAACTAAAAACTTACACGAAGAATCAAGATGAAGCTGAAGAATGCGACTGAGAAATGCGACTGAAGAGTGAAGTGAAGATGCGACTGAAGAATCTAATGGATCTGAGAAATGAAGTGAAGATGCGACCGAAGAGTGAAAGAAAAAAGCTGAGAAATGCGACTGATGCCAGCCTGAGTCTTGACGGGCTGAATGGTGATGGCGTGATATGACTAAGCCGGCCTGAGTCTTGACGGGCTGACTGGTAAGGGCGTGAGGCAGAGAAACTAAGAAAGAATAGGGAAATCAAAGAGTGAACTATGAATTATAAAACCCTAGTATGTATATACCTAAGGGTAACCTAGTAAATTAGTTAATCCTTATTGGGTTATCGGTTTTACCCAATAACATAATTGCCAAACCGAGCCCGAACCGATAACCCAGTAATTTTTTTTAACCCGTTACCAAACCGTTAACCCAATAAATAATTAACGGTTTGGGTTATCGGTTTTACCCGATGTATGCCCACCCCTACTCCTCGCCCGAATTAACATTCAGTCTCTTCGCTTGAATCAACATTTGACCTCCTTGCCCGAATCAAGATTCGACCTCGCTCGAATCACATTCGATCTTACTTGAATTAACATTCGACCTCCTCGTCCGAATTAACATTCGACTTCCTCGCACGAATCAACATTCGACCTCACTCGAATCACATTTGATCTCGCTCGAATTAACATTCAGCCTCCTCGCTCTAATTAACATTCAGCCTCTTCGCGCTAATTAACATTCGGCCTCGCTCGAATTAACTAACATTCGACCTCGCTCGAATTAACTCACACTCGACCTCGTTCGAACTGATTAAGACACATTTGACAGTCCAAATTAGTTGAGTGACATTCGACCTCGCTCGAATTCAACTCACATTCGACTTAGCTCGAACTTGATTCACATCTAGACCTCGTTCGATTTAAATATGGCAATGTTTGACTTCGCTCAGACTAATCAAAGACACTTGATCACGTTCGAATTAACGCCTACCAACGATTCCTTTGAAACCATTAATCGAAGAAAACGTTCAAGAAAAAGAAAAATATAATTAGAAATAAGCAGCAAAAGTAGCATTCCAAATTAAAAGAAGTATCAGAAAAAGGCATCTTACAAGGGCCGAATCGCCCGTCCAGATCTAAGGACGCGGATGACCTCCTCCGATGCCGCCACCCCTTGCCAAAGCCGCCATCCTAGACTCGTCAGCCTTCTCCAACTCTACTGTCTTCTTGATCAACTCATCACTCGAGTCATTGGCCCTGATTGAACTCTGCTCAAGTTCAGTCCGCGGGGATACCACTTTGACTTGAAGATCAGCACCTTCAGCCGTGATCCTCACTAGTCGACCTCCCCATCCGAATTTCTTGAACTGCAATTAATGAAGTCTGCTCACCGAACTCGACCAAAAGACGACCTCGATAAGTGGATGGACTAACTGTATGGGTCAAAATCAAATCAAAGAAATTCGACATGCAGAGACAATTGTCATGAGCAACTTACGAATCGAATTGAGCTGTCTGGCCGAGGTCGAGCAGTGATCAACAACAAGGCCGAGGTCGAGCAGTACATATAGAAGTAACATCTCGTTTTGCTTTGGAATCTTTAAAGGGAATATTCAGTATTCTCTTTAATTATACTGTTTAGGGCTCCTTGGGATATCGCATATAAAGGGTATGCGAGAAGAATGAAAATGGATTAGATTGAGCAAATATACAAACAGGCTCTCTCTCTAGAAAATATACAAACACATCTCTCTAAAGAGATTAGATTATCTGTTATCATATATCCTCCATCAGATCCGAAAAGGATCCTAAGATTCTTGTATTTGTCTATTATTCATCTTTATCAAATGAAAGAGGATCCGCTTCACTCAAGATTGAGTGAATCTTTTCCTTTATTTATATTTTATTGCCATTTAGTGTTACTTAATGCATCTTTTTCATACTACTAAATCTAGCCAAAACGCTGACAACATTTATACTCAACTATATTTTTCTATTCATGTTATTCATCTCAGATCTAGAATTAATTATCCTTAACTAGAATTTACCCTCTATCTTCTTATTTAATTAGTTTAACAAAAAGGTCCCATACTTTTTTGGTCAAATATTATGCACTACTTCATAGCTAAGTTTCATTTGTTGTCCTCTCACTTGTCACTAGCTAATGAGCAGTGGACTACTTTGAAGTAAAATATTTGAATGTTTAAATTTTAATTTAAACGGAATATAGTGCAATTTAGCTTTCAAACTTAGATATATTTTCTCTGGATAAAAGAAAAGAAAACAAAACTAAGACAGAGGGAGTACCAAGTACCAACTTTGGACATTTCATAAATTCATATAACTATACTCGTATAAGAATAATTTAGCTATTAAGTTATGTGAAAGATACTTAACCAAGCATCTATACTTATATTTGCCATAGGATGTCCAATAGCTCCGACTTTACTTGATGAAAGCACCTTTGTCATCTTTCATTAATTAATAATAATAACTCCATATCCACATTTAATGTGAGCTTTTCTCATTTTCCATTACAACACTCTTGAATCCTTAACTATTATTTCTGTTGATTGTTTGACTTAGATTGTTTATTTATGAAATTATCGATTCAAAGTGGATCCTAATTCATCGAATTTTATACTGATTTGAGTCAGTATGTTTTACCAAAACACACTCAATATTCAGGTTTAAGGTTACTGTTCTTAGGTCAACATTTAGGAAATAAACCCCCAATTAATCAAGTTTTTTTCAGACTAGTTACACTTCAAGTTATCCAAACCTTATCCATTAGCTCTAGACTCTAGTGCAACAAGTTATGCTGTCTTTTGGCATAAAAAGAATATTAGTCACCCTTAAACACATTAATATAATATAATACCAACGGCCAGTGAACTAAATACATACGCCTCTTACTGTTGCCCAACTTTAGGATCAAGTTTATTTTGAATTGAATTGTAAGGAAAGGAACTATAAAGTCAACTAAAACGAGACAAATGACTCCAAGTGTTCCTAACCAAAAACAGTTTCTAAAAACACACACACACAAAAAAAAAAAAAAAAAAAGAACAAGAAGAAGAAGAGAAGAACAAGATTGCCACAAACACCCAAAGAAAAGAAAAGTGCCAAGTGGCACAAGATCTAGGCACTTCAATACAGACCAATCAACGTCAAAGTTATTGCCACGTCAGAAATTGCCCGTAACAAGCAACCTCCTCACCGACTCCACATAAGTACCGTGCACCTCCCCACACTTTATTTCGCCTTCCTCCTCTCACAGATCCAAAAGACTCGATCGTAAATATTTCTTAGCTCCCTAATTTCATTTCCCGATCACCGGACGTGACATTTCTCCACCCTAATTTCCTCCTACTACGGCGGAACGCGGCGGTCGGTGGATGGCAAGAACCAATAAATATACCTCCCTTAACTTCAACGACATCTACGAAAAGAAAACCACTAGCAGCAGCTCCGCCGCCTCCGGCAGACCGCACTCTTCTTCATCATCTTCTTTTAATGGTCCCAATAAGACTATTATCTCTAACTCTCGTATTCATGGACACATGCTTGTCCTGAGCCGGCCCACTCCCAAGCCCATCTCCATTCCGCAACCCCAGCCTCAGCCTCTTCCGATCCAGCAACAGCCGAAGTTACAAAGCCCACCGGATCAAACCCGAGCTGAATCGGACTCCATTTCGCTTCGTCCACAGGGTCGTACTGGTTCCGGGCCCACTACAACACTTTCTTCTTCTCCTGTGAACCCCCCTTCACCTTTGCAATCGCCTTTGCCAAAGTCGAACAGGTTCGTGCCGCCACATCTTAGTCCGGGATTTGTGGGCCGGGAGGAGAAACCGGTCCCGGATGGTCAGGGAGTGAGAGCCAGACCGGAGGTTGGGCCTGGGCTGCATCGTCAGGGGGGACATCTTGGGTCGTCACCTAATCGGTTCGGAGAGAACGGTAGGCCCAAATCGGGAGGTGGGTATGAGCGAACGAGGAGGGGATTTGGGGAGGCTGATTCGGTGGATTTCATGAACCGGCGTGGTTCTAGCGGGGCTCGGCCCAGCTCTAGTGGATGATGTCATCATGGTATGATGCCTCATTTTCTAACATCTCTCGTATTCATATGGATTTAAGTTACATGATTTAATCAATTTTAAATTTTTACACTGGTAGTGTAACTTAACTTATCAATCAATGTTTATTAAATATAGGTAATTAAAATATTTGATAGTGTAACTTAAGCTCCATATTCATATTTACATAAGGGCCTGGTCGTTTAGCTTTTCCGTTTATATGCTCGTAGGAATTTTTCTAGAAATGTGGTACTAATGAATCAACTTCGCTTCCTTCTCAAAGGGAAAAAAATTTCTCATAATGAATAAACTTTGCTTTCTTTTTGTGCACTATGCTTGAAATTTCCATGTTCTTGGTACTAGTTTCCTTTAGGAGTTCGCTTGGATTTACGTTCCATATTTGTTTGTGCTAGTTTCCTCTTGGAGTTCGCTTGGATTTACGTTCAAAATTTGTTTCATAAGTGTGTGATTTTGTTTATTATGAGCGTTTGTGACTAGCTAGAGCTGCCAAGTTGAAATGAATTTTTGTGTGATGAGTGGTGCTGCTTTCCTAATCATTTGGGATTGTTTGGTGAAAAGAGTATGTAAGCTTGGTTTGTTTTCTGCTTATATTTGGACGTATTTTTTTTATTGCCTTATTGGTTGGCAAGTACCAGTCCAATGCTTGTGAGGCCATGCATGTCTTATTGCGTGCCAATTCAGACCTTTGTCATTTTTTGAGATGCTTGTAATAAGACTTTTCGAATTATATTATGCTCATGTACAACTTCCATCTTATGTCATATCCATTCTTGAGCATTGACTTGACCTATATTCCAGCCATATTACATTTATTACTCATGTATGTTTTGACCATTCTCCCAGAAGGTGAAACGTACTTGTTGAGTGGCTATGACATGACTACAATTTTTCATCTGAGGTTTTATCATTGCCTGTTTTTGAGCATGCAAAATATATTTTTTTTACTATGCTTGGTTGGAGAGAAGCACAACCATATAATTATTAAGACGGCCGTTTACTTTTTCATCACATTTTTTCATAAAAGAGTGNAGTCTCGTACCTATTCGAGTCGTTTAAAGATCAAAGATCAGAAGAAGTTGAAGATACGAATCTGATGACGTAAAAGAGTTTAAATACAGCATTAAATGTCAAATACGTTAGAGAATCTGAATTAAATAGAAATGATTGTGTAACGTTTCTTTTAAATATCATTTATTGCTCATAATTGTCTCATTAAGACAAAAGCATTATATTTTCTCCTAGAATCAACTATAAAAAGGGAGAGACTCAACATTTGTAAGGACACGAAATACTATTGAGATCTTACTGAAATACAAAACTATTTACTGCTTTACCATCATTCTCAAAAATATTTTATTTTCGTCTCCTGATTATCAGTAACTCAAATTTCTTTCTAGCTTTGACCAAAGACTCAGATTTTTGGTTAAACAAATTGGTTCCGTTACCGGGAATCTGATAATCTTTTCTTTTAAGCTACATCTTGTCCATTGTTATCACCATGTCAAACAACAACACCAACAATAACAATGAAATCACTTTAGGAAACCCTGAAAATCAAATCCATCAAAATCAAGGAGATTTACATAACATTGAAGTGGTTCCC